AAACTAACTGGATCAGAATCTTCCATGATTCCGTGTTTCTTCTAATAGCTGGGGCCTTACTAGGTAGAGGGTAGTTTGTAAACCAGCTGCCAGGCATCACTTGAGACAGTGGCTAAATCGCAGAATCTGCTTTTAAAAACCAGACTGGACTGGATCAGACCAGACCAGACTGGCCTTCTGCTTCCTAAAACCAAACCACAAAACCAAATCAGCTTCCAAAACCAAATCAAGCCAAAGCAAAACCCAAAACAAAACAAACACCCCCCCCAACCCTCTCTCTTTGAGTTGCACATAAAGTGAGAAGTACTGCCTTTTCTTAGTGCTGGAGATGGAACCTAGGGCCTTGTGTATGCTAGGCAAGCACTCTGTCACTGAGCTATATCTCCAGCTCCAAGAGGCACTCTTTAAAGTGATTCACATGCACAGTTTAGTATGGAAAATGCTCTAGTTTTGTGGCCTCCAGTTTCTTAAACTGTGGGTAACTGAATGTAGTGGAGGTTCATAAAAAAATTGACAATACTATGGGACTAGAGAGATGGTTCAGTGGTTAAGAGCACTGGCTGCTCTTGCAGAAGACCTGGATTAGAATCCCAGCACCCACATGGTGGCTGAAAAACCACCAGTAACTCCATTTCCAGGTGATCTGAGACCCTCCCTCTTCTGTCCTCTGGGGCATTGCATGACACAGGTGCACTTACATACACACAGGCATAACACTCATACACACAAATAAAAAATTTACAGTGCTAAAAGGTTTCAGAATGTGCAAAGACCAGAAATTATTTCAAAATCAAACATGTTATGAATCCGAGGTATGTTTGTGCTTTCTCATGTTCCATTGCACAACTTTATTGCAGAATTAGTTTAAAACATTTTTATTAAGCAATAACCATCAGGACATTAGTATCTGTGGAAATGAATGAAGACCACTCAAATGAGAACAAACAGAGGCTGTTTATTCCCAATTAGCAAAGGAATGAGCCACTGTCCCTTGTCAGAGGCAGGCAGAGAAATGGAGAGAAAAGAGGAAGGAAGGTTTCAGGTGTGTCTTGTTGGAGGTTGTTGGTGTGGGGATACTGGCAATGAGATCACCAGGAGAGCTTCCTCTGAACTAGCCAGAGTTGCTTATTAGAGAAATTGACATTTATTGACCAAGTCCTGACAGTTTGAGGTTGAGTATCACAGAGGTGGTGGTTTTGCCTCCAAACTGGTTGCTGCAGATCGTGGGTCAGAATTCTATTGCCACATAGGTTCTGTCCATTGTCTAGTTGTGTATTTCTTCTCACATTCCTCCTGGATCCCTACTGGCAAGGTACTGGAAAAGACCTAGAGCATTCCAGCAGGGAACTGGAAGGAGGGCTGAGTTTGGGATGAGATAGTTTGCACAAGTACAGAGACGTGCCCAAAGGAAACTAGCTGGATGCCAATGAAGCCTCGTCTTCCCTTTTCTTAGACAGCACGAGGGTGACACTGTCTTGGATGTTATAGGATGCAAAATCAAAGAAGTCCTGCAGGACTTGACCCCGGAACTTCAGCTGCTGCTGCTTGCTGCTCAGCCCCTGTCTGTCTTCAATCTGCTGTTTCAGGCTTAGGACAAAATCAAAGGGGTGGATGGCATAGGCGTGGCTCCCACCATCTGGATTTTTAACAAAGACCTGGATCTCAGGGGAGATGGTGTCCAACAGGCAGATATGGGTGTTGGAGAAGATTCCATAGTAGGCTAAGGAACAGTGGCCACTGAGGACCTGCCGCTCGCCCCTGGGCTCCTGGAAGGACAGGCGCTGCAGGCCTGAGTAGCCCCGGCTCAGTCGAATTTTCTCTTTAACCTTCTTTATGGGCTCATAAGGGTTCACCCAGAGGATCAGATCAGAGTGACCCCACTGCTCCACAGTCACCTGGATATCTGGTGTTCTCTGCAAAGGGGAGGGAGAGAGCAGTTAAGCTCACATTTCTGTCTGATGTGCATAAATTCCCTTCCCCAGCCTCAGTTTCGGGGATCTGATGCCCTCTTCTGGTCTCCACGGGCATTGTATGCATGGATATGCTTACATATGTGCAAGCAAAACTCTCATATACATAAAATAAGAATAATATAAAAATAACGTGTGTGTGCACACATGGGCAGGCATGTGTGTCCCCATGCTTGTGCCATGGCACATGTGCAGAGGTCAGAGAACAACTTGCAGGAATCTGTTCTCATCTTCTGTGTGGGTCCTGGGGATTGAATTCAGGTCAACAGACTTGGTGGCAAGTGCCTTACCCACTGAGCCATCTCACCAACCCAAATGTCTTCTATTCTGAGCACTCACATCCCTCCCTGGTGTTTAGGCATGAAGCACCTTCCAGGACTCTCGCCTAGTAACTCTAGATAACCTTTATTCTCAGTTTGCAATCTTGGCTTTGCTGCCTATCAACAGTATGAGCTTGATTCATTTAACCTATCTGAGCCTTAGCTTCCTACTCTGTAAAATAGCAACAACCATAGTAGCAGTGATTATAAGTATATTCAACTTTCTTTCGTTTTAGAATTACTGGTGAAGACCAATGGAGACAGCCCCCAGACAAAAACTTCACAAGCTGTAAAGAGCAATCGAATAAATTACATTATTATGATCTTTGCTCATGCCATTGTTTATCATCATATAATGTTTCTTGACATTTAAAATTTTATGAGTATCTTATATTTTCTGGAAATCTGTCTAGCGGTTTTGTGCACATTTACTTTTAACACCATAATGTGTATTCGTGAGGACAAAAGTCATGTCCTATGTCTGTACCTTACCTGTTTTTTCCTCCCCACCCCAACTCTAAGCCCCACACTGGCACTGACAACCAATTGAGTTGACTTAGTTTTGCCTAGCTTATGCTAAGAATCATCAGGAACATGGAACTGATTTTCTAGTACGCTATGGGAAAAAGAAAGAAGAATGTAAAGATTAGGATCCGGAGGTTCAGAGAAAGAATTCCCCAAGTTCACAGAGCAGGTGGGTGATGTCTCAGGGCCCCAGACTTCTGCCTCTGAAATGCTGTTTTCCACTGGCACCAAAATGGATGAACCAATGCTACACAGTTGTATTGTTCTGAGTGACCTAACAGTCCTAGGAGGAACCATTACCTTCACTGTCCAGCTGGAGACTGGGGTGTCCCTGTTGTCATAGCAACAGTCCTGTTTCAGGCACTGGTTGGCCCTCTGAGCGACTATGTCCCATCTGTACCCTTCCGCCACATTGTGGGTGGGGTCCGCTGGGTCCAGGATGATGGGCCTGCAATACAGAGAGAGGATGCCCAGGCTCCTTCTGGCTTGGAGGCTGTAAGCCAGGAAGACACTGCTCAGCAACTATCCATTCCAGTAACCTTGTATTGTATGTCCACGGCCCAGAGCTGTCAATCAGAGGGCCCAGAAACATCACTGGAGAGCAAGAGAATGGAGATGATGAAATTTCTAAGGAAATGTTCTTGAGGAGAGCACTCTAGGAATTTGCAAAGAATTTGTGGGGTGGGTAGAAAGGGTGAAGCCTCAGGAGGTATCCTGGAGCAATGACATTGAACCACTTGGGCAGGTGGGCCTTTCAAAGTCATAGTAGGCTGCACAAGTTTGAGGCCAGAACTGCTGAATGACTTTGGATAACAGCGACAGCAACAGCACCTATGGACTGTTATTGAAGCATTGGGCCAAACCCTGGGTTAACCTGTTTTAATCCTTCCAACAGTTTTATAAGATAGGGCTTATTATTACTAGTATTGATGACCCTATTTCACAGGTGAGGAAACTGAGGCATGAACCTCCTTAAGTTCTCGTAGTCAATAGATGGTTTTCTTTTTTTAAAAAATATTTTATTATTTTTATCTTATGTCTATGTGTGTATTGTCTGCATATGTAAATGCACCCGTGTGGTGCAATACCCTCAGAGGACAGAAGAGATGGTCAGATCCCCTGGAACTGGTTACGAACAGTTGTTAGATGCCATGTGGGTTCTAGGATTTGAACCCAGGTCTTTTGCAAGAACAGTCAGTGTTCTTAACTGCTGAGCCATCTCTCCAGGCCATCTTATTTAAAAAAAAATTTATTATTTTATTTTATGTGTATGCATGTATTGCCTGCATGTATGTAGGTGCACCTGTGTCGTGCAATGCTCATGGAATCGGAAGAGGGCTTTGGATTTCCCCAGAACTGGAGTACAGAGGGTTGTTAGCCACCATGTGGGTTCTGGGAATTGAAACCTGGTCCTATGTGAGAGCAGCTGAGCCATCTCTTCAGCCCCCAGTAGATGGCATTCTTACCTATTTTAATTCTTTTGCTTGACAGACAAGAGCTTGGGCTGCTTCCAAGCATCTCTTCTTATTACAAACATTGAATGAATATTCTAAATATCGCTGGCTTGAGTGGAGTCTGATGGCCTTCTTCAGATGATCACACGAGGTAGATGCAGAGCTCATAAGCAAGAACTAGCCTTTGTTTTCCAAGAAATTGGAGCTTAGGAGTGGTGACTTTGTCCATGTGATAGAATGTGAAAGAAGGATACTGGGGTGAACTTGGGAGCTTCATGCCTATGACTCCCAGCATCCCCTGCTGTCTGAAACAGTCCTGACTGAGAGCATCAGGGACTAGCCCAGGCTATCTCGTGAGGTCTGAGACACCTGATGTAGAAAAGCTCATTCTTTCTTCTGGTGGATGACTCAGCAGGTGCCCGACCCACTATGCAGGACCTGTGCCCAAAGATCAGACTGTTTTCCTCTGGGGTTTGGAGGCCCCTGACCAACTGGAGGGAAATGGGGAGCAGGGCAGGTTGGAAAGATGAAGTCAGAGGAGAAGGGTAAGGGCATGTAGGGAAAGAAAGAGATAGATTGGGAGATGAGGGGCAGGGAGGGAGGGAGAGAGAGAGAGAGAGAGAGAGAGAGAGAGAGAGAGAGCTGAAATTCTAGGTCTGCCTAAGATCCAGAAATTATTTCCAACTGTATCCTTAGAGTAAATCCTGTCTTTATTAGAGTCCCTGAGTTTTCTTCTTTGCAAAACAAACAAACAAACAAACAAAAACCAGGCTAACAAACCAAACAACAAACCCTTCAACACCAATACAATGGAATACTGAACATCTCTAATGCAATATTTCCATAGAAAGGGTTGGATTCCCCCAGAATCAGGTCCGTGGATAAGGGTTTGGGCAATGTAGAAGGAAATCCCAGGAAGTACTAATAAGGGATTGAAAAAGTGAGACAGGGTAAGGGGGAGCAAGTATCAAGGTCATAACCACTACAGGCAACTAAAGACCCATTGGGGAACTCTGGAAAAGTGTGGAAGACAGGAACCAGAGTCTTTCATTTGAGAAAAGAGGGAGCATTTGTTGAGGGCTGTCCTGGAGTGAGTCCACTGGTGAAAGGGAATCTGCAGGCAAAGGGAGGCAGATGCTAGTAGGTGGAGGCTGATCCAGCCTTCACGGAGAGGGTCAAGAACCAAGGGCATGTAAGTGGGACACTGATGGCTTGTGCTACAATCCTGAAAATTTATGCTGCATTTACTGTACACCAGACACTGTGAACCCTTAATATGAATTTTCTGTGACTCTCACAACAGTCCTTCAATGTAGGGAACATTTACTCTTTTTTCATTACTTTAGATTTTAACTTTAAGATTACATTTATGTATTTATTTATTGTGTGTGCATGTGCACATGGAGGTCAGAGGAAAACTTCTGCAATTAGTTCTCCCTCCTTCTACCATGTCTGTCTCTGGGACTGAAGTCAGGTTGTCAGGCACATTTACTCTATGAGCCACCTCACCAGTCCCTTTGTATTTGTTTAAGACAGGGTCTCAATGTGTACCCTGGCTGCCCACAAACTCACTATGCAGCCTAGGCTGGCTTGAACCCTTGGCAATCCTGCCTAATTTCCCAGCCAGTTGCTGGGATTATAGATGGGTGCCACTTTGCCTGGCTTGGTTTCTGTTTACTCTTGCCAAGGCTCTTGTCAGTGAAAAAATGATAGAGCTGAGATTTCAAACTGAGTCTCCAAGGTTCTTCCCATTTTCTTTTTTTTTTTGTTGTTGTTGTCCTTTTGAGACAGGGTCTCCCTGTAACCCTGGTTAGCCTGGAACCTGCTCTGTAGACAAGGCTGGACTTGAACTCACAGAGATCCACCTGCCTCTGCCTCCCGAGTGCTGGTATTAAAGGTGTTTGCCACCACGCCCAGTTCCATTTTCTTTATTATATATAATTTGTGTGTGTGTGTGTGTGTGTGTGTGTGTGTGTGTGTGTGCGCCAGAGGCCAGAGGTCGACATCAGGCCTCAGTTACTTCTCCACTTTATTTTTTGAGACAGGGTTTCTCACTGAACTTAGAGTTCAAAAATTTGGCCAGACTGGCTGGCCAGCACACCTCAGGGATACCCTCGTCTCTGCCTCCCATTGCTGGAATCACAGGTGTGCACCCCACCCCAGATTTTTACAGATACTCAGGCTTGTGGGGCAAACACTTTATTATGTAATTCTCCAGCCTCAGCCTCCAGAGTCTGAGATTTTTGGTGTGTACCAACTATGCCTGGCATGAAAATAATATCTCCTACCCACTGCCTCTAAACCTGCCTCCATGCTCAGGATCAGACCCAGGGCCTTGTGCATGCTCAGCAAGTACTCTGCAGTCAGTACTCCCAGTTTCTCATGTTCTCTCAAAAGTGCTGAAATGGTCTTCTGGGAGCAAGAGGGCTAAAGTAGGGTGGCTAGGTGACTTTGGGAACAACTGCCTTGTATCTCCTAAGCCCCTGGGAAATCTTGATTGGCTTTGCACTGGGACTTGTCCACTTTCAATTTCAATGTTAACTGCTGTGCCAGTCTTAACTGTGTACTTAATAATGTCATCTCGTAAGACTGGACATCTTAGTTCCCTCAATTCTCTCTTTTGTTTTGCTTTTCTGCAGACTCCGTGGCAAGCAGTACCTTTCTTTTTTGAGCTGCGTTCTGACAAAGGCCTCAATGACTGGGTTCTGGAGTGTGTAGTGCTTTGTCCAGTAGATGCAGATGAGTTCATAGTCCCGGAGCAATTCCATCACAGTGGTGAGGCCTTCATCCAGCCTGAAGTTATCATCTTCCTGAGTGCCTGCTTCCCAGGCATAGATGGTCAGGAGCTCCAGAGCATAGAAAGGGGGCAGGTTGGCCCGGGGGCACTTGTCTCTCACGTACTGTTGAAAGAGATGGGAAGGGACACAGAGAGGTGCCAAGATTAGGTGTAAGGATGACATCAGGCCAAAGTCTGGGAAATCCAGACTCTAGTCCTTGCTCTTCCCCACTACTGGCTGTGTAACTTCGACCAAGTCACCTTTCCTCCTTGGGCCTTGGCTTCCCCATTTTAGGATTAAGGACCTAGGTTGGTCTGGTGGACTTCAAATTGTTCTTTAATGCATACTTAGGGCAATACAATTTAGTTTTTGAACACTGCTGAGATTTTAAATCCTTCCTTATTTCCTTCTTTCTTTCCTTCCTTCCTCCCTCCCTTTCTTCTTTGTATTGTGCACATGTCTGTGTGTATGTGATGTATATGTGTGGGTTTACATGCCATGCTGCACGTGTGGAGGTCAGAGGACAACTTTGTGGTATTAGTTCTCTCCTTCTGCTTTACATGTGCTCCCAGGATCACATTGAACTCAGGTTGTCAAGCTTGTGTGGCAAGGGCCTTTACCCATTGTGCCACTTCACCAGCCCGATTTTAAATTCTTTTTTTCCCCCTTTTTGATCTTTTTGTGACAGGGTCTCCCTGTAGCCCCAGCTGGCCTGGATTCACTATGGAGACCAGGCTGGCCTTGAACTCACAGAGATCCACCTGCCTCTGCCTCCCAAGTGCTGGGAGTAAAGGCATACACCACCACGCCTGGCCTTTCTTTTTTTTAACCCAAGACTGGGCCTTGCTATGTAACCCAGGCTTGGTTTAAACTTAGGTTGAGTGCTGTGATTATAGGTGTGCAACAAAGCTGACAGCAGATTCTACTTGCCTTTATGTGTTCAAGTGAGCAAAGCATTTTATGGAAGAGTGGTTTGATTGAAGTATAATCTGTCTGTGAGAGATGGCAGGATCTTCATTCCACTATAAGAAATCTATAGTGTGGATTTGGTGATAAATCCATAGGTAAAGACTGACATTGCCACCAAAGGGGACTGAGACAGATTTTTACCAGACCCTTTTATTCCAAAAGCATATGACTTTATAAAACCAGATTGCTTAATTAAAGATTAATAAAACAAGTATTACAAGATCAGTGTTCTACTTATGGCCATACAGAAAAGAAAACCTTTCCTTGCATGTCCTTCAAAGTAAAACTATAGTTGTACAAGTTAAAGCATTCTTTAAATGATATTCTGACATCTCAGAATTAAAAATTCCCATAATATATTATTAACAAATCATCAGAAAAGGATAACTATTTTGTAAAACAATAGCATATATAATTGGCCTTATTAACAAAGCTGTTTAGGATAATGATTAAGTATTCACAAAGGGTCTTTACTAAGTTATTCTGCTTTCAATGGCCATGTATCCTCTTCCTGCTAGGATAGAACTAAATAAATCAAATTTGTATTCAGGCCAGAAACCTCACCCCATTAGGTATTAAGAATCAAAAACAGTTCCACAAGATGGCTCAGTGGGGAAAAGTCACTTGCCATTAAGCCTGATGACCAAGAAGTTGTCTTCTGACATCCACATGTGTGCTTTGGCATGTGCACACATGTGTGCGCACATAGACACACACAAATACATATGACAAAAATTAATTAAAAATATTTGTAAAAACATCAAGGAAAAGCTGGGTGTGGTGAAGCACTTGGGAGGCAGAGGCAGAAGAATCAAGAGTTCAAGGCCAGTCTGGCTGCATGAGACCCTGTCTCAAAGCAAAACAAACAAAAGCACCTCCGAATAGAATCAAGGATCAATAATCTAGACATAGAAGGGTAAATACTGTATGACTTAATTTATGAGGTACCCCAAATAGGCAAATTCACAGAGAGAGAAGTAGAGTAGTGATAAGCAGGGCAGGAGGTAGCAAGATGTGGGAAGTTAGTGCTGTGCTGGTTAGTATTTGTCTATTTGACACAAACTAGAATTATTGGGAAGAGGGAAGCTCAACTGAGGAATTTTCTTAATCAGATGGGCCTGTGGCCATGCCTGTGGGGCATTTTCATGTTTGCTAACTGATGGAGGAAGGCTCAGCCCACTGTGGGGTAGTGTTACCCCTGGGCAGGTGGGCCTGGTCTGTGTAAGAAAAGTAGCTGAGCGAGTCAGAGGAAGAGAGCCATAAGCAGAGCTCCTCTGTGGTCTCTGCTTCAGTTCCTGCCCCCAGGTCCCTGCCCTGATGTTGGACTCTAAGATGTAAGATGAAATAAACCCTTTCCTTCCCAAGGTGCTTTTCAGTCAGTGTTTTATCACTGCAACAGAAACCAAACTAGAACAGTGTTCAATGGGGGCAAAGGTTTGTTTGGGATTATGACATAGTTTTAGAACTAGACAAGGTGGTGGTTACACAATGCACATGTAATGTAGGTCACTTAAATGATAACAAAACCAAACCAGGCAACAAATCAAAACCTAAAACTTTTTTTTTTTAGTGTCCAGCGCTCAGACAAAAGCACTGGGGAAAGTTTCTAAAACTGCACTGAGTCGTATGCTTCACGCATATGTACAGGTATATAGTCTACCCTCTTTATACAAGTTTATGCGAGTTTCTGAGAATTCAACCAACTATGGCTTGGAAATCTTAGGACCAAAATAAGTATGTCAGTATTGAACATACATGGACTTTTTTCTTGTTGTTATCCTCTCAATAGTACAGAATAGCAACTATTTACTGTGTTTAAATTATATGAGGTCTTATGAGTAATGTAGATGGTTTAAATATATGGCAGGGTACATGTCGTAGCTTCTTTTCCTGTTGCTGTGATAGAATACTCTAACAGAAGTAGTTAAGGGGAGAAAGTGGGGGGCTGGAGAGATGGCTCAGCAGTTAAAAGCACTGACTGCTGCTCTTGCAGAGGACCTGGGTTCAATTCCTAGCACCCACATAGCAGCTAACAACCATCTGTAACTCCAGTTCCAGGACATCTGACACCTTCTTCTGACCTCCACAGGCATTGCACAACATGGGTACACTTATATACATGCAGATAAAACACTCATACACATAAAATAAAAGAAAGAAATAAAAAATTTAAGGGGAGAAAGGGTTTATTCTGGCTTGTAGTTCAAGGGTACAGGCCTCATAGTGGGGAAGTCAAAGTGCCAGGAGCCTGAAGCAGCTGGTCATGTGGCATCCACAATCAGGAAGTGGAGACAATGAATGCATGTGCTCAGCTTGATTGCTCCATGAACATAATAGTCCAGGACCCAAACCTAGGGGATGGTGCCACCCCCTTTTATTGTGAGTCTTCTCACCTTAAATTAACCCAATCAATATAATCTCTCACAGATACAGCCAGAGGCTAAAGACTTCCTCACAGGTGTGTCTGGAGACTTGTCTCCTAGGTGACTCCAGATCCTGTCACACTTATAATTAGTGATAACCATCACAGTAGGCATAGGTTACATGCAAATGCTATGCCATTTTACTTATGGAATTTAGGTGTCTTTGGATTTTGGCATCTGAGAGGGTCCCAGAACCCTTCTTGAATACCAAGAGATTACTGTATTTGTGTATCAAATATATTTACACATGTATGTATATATACACACATATATAATCTCCAAAAAAGAGTCAAAGACAAGTCTTTATATGTGGAAATGATGCTTATAAAGTCTTTGGAAACTGACCTGGTTCTTGCTGTAAGCTTATGAAACCCCAGCATTATAGACAATGAAAATATCACCTTTTTTTTTTTGGTAGACAATGGGCATTAACAAATCTGGGCGCCTCTGATAACTGTTATGATGAAGATTTGACAGACAAAACCTAGGGGAGGTAAGTTGTACGCCCTGAATCCAGTAGATGGACTAATGAGGACACTGAAAAGCAACTTTAATGACGTTGTAAAACTTCTGGACAAAAGTGAATTCTTCATCTCTTTAGTCTTATGGAACTCTGGTTTTGTCCTTTATTCACTATGAGACCATATGTATTGATAGAACCACTGGATTAAAAAACCGTCAAATAAAAAAATATGAAGTTAATAAATTATGAGTCAACAGGACTGGAGCGATGGCTCAGAGGTTAAGCACATTGGCTGCTCCTCCAGAGGACTTGGTTCAGTTCCCAGCACCTACATTTTGGCTAACGACCCGTTGTAACTCCAGTTCCAGGGAATCCAGTGCTTTAGTACGGCCTTCATGGGAATTGCACAGCACAGATACACTTACTTACATGCTGGCAAAACCCTCATGCACATTAAAAAAAAAGAGTCAAAAGATGACTGCAGAACTATTTGGCCAAGCTGGGCATGGCGGTCTATGCCTTTAATCCCAGCACTCAGGAGGTAGAGCCAGGTGAGTCTCTGTGAAATTGAGGCCAGGCTGATCCACATAGTGAGTTCCAAACCAGCTGAGCAGCTTAGGCTACAGGGAGATCCTTCTTAACCTCCCCTCCCGCCTCAAGCCCCAAACAAACAACAACAAGAACAAATTATTTGGCCAAATCTTTGTCTTAGGGTCGGAGATTTGAGAAGAATTACATGAGTCAACTGATGTGCTGCTCTGTGGGCATCACGATAAATGTACATGGTACAGTGAGGAAGAAAAATGCTTTAGAATGAATGGGACAAATGTGCTTAGTCCTTGTTCTCTAAATACATAAAACCTTGAACATCTCTTAGAAGTTACTGGAAAGACGGCCTCATCCCTGGCTCTGGTGATGCTATCATCTAAAGATAAGTCAGTATTGGTTGATAAACATGTTTTCCCACCATAAGCAGACTAAACCTAAATGTTCTAACATTGATAATTTTGTGATTTTTCATCTTTTAAAATATCTATTAAAAACAGTTATTCATTCTAAAATTTCACCACTTTGTGCATGTGTTTACTTAAATTTTAACATTTATTTTTCTTTTTAATTATGTGTGTGTGTATGTGCACATGAGAGCAGGTGTCTAAAGAGGACAGAAAAGAGTGTCATCCTCTGGAGCTATAGCCACAGGCATTTGTGAGCTGCCTGACATGAATGCTGGGAACTTAACTCAGGTCCTCTACAAGAGCAGTGTGCTCGCTCAATTGCTGAACCATCTCACTAGCCTCCGTTTACTTATTTATTTATTTATTATTTATTTTGAGACAGGGTCTCACTGTGTAGCATAGGCTGGCCTGAAACTCACTATCCAGTTCAAGTTGATCCTCCTGCCTCAGTCTTCCAAGTGTTGGGGTTACAGGTATGTGTCACCATACCTGGCCTCTCCCTTAGCATTTATTTATTTAACAAGAAAGCATCTTTTTTCTGTGGTGTGTGTGTGTGTGTGTGTGTGTTTGATTCTTTTCTTTCCTAAGTTTAGGTGATTCTATCCATCTGGTTATTTTGAAATCTACTTGGTTCTTTTCAGATACCACACATGACATCTAAAAAGTAGTTTACTGAATAATGACTGTGACACTCAGGTGCTTGATCACTGAGAGGCGGATTGGTATGGGTGGATTTAAAGGACTCTTTCCTCCCCTTAGTCCTGAATTTGCCGGGATTAATGTTCAGATACACAGTGAAGCTGCCAAAGGAGACCCTGACTGCAGCATTACAAACGTGATTACTGAAATACTCTCTATCATGGCTTTCCTCTTTCTTTTACTGTTTCTCGTTCTTTTCCTCCTCTTCTTCACCTTCCTCATCTTCTTTACTGAATAAGATTCACTTTGTAGTTCAAAAGCCTAGCCTTGTCCTGCTCTTCCCCATTTCCCTCGATGCATTTTCCTGGGACTGCTATTGGTCACTGCCATTCCTCTTCTGCCTCCATTTCCCTCCGGTCCCATCCTGGCAACCTCCTTACCTGCTGGTACCAATGTCTGACTAATCGCAAGAAGCTCTTTAATTTTGTTGGTCGGTGTTTCACAAAGTTTCTCTGCAACTCGCAGAAGGACGGGGAGAAATATCCAGGGTACCCATTGGCCTTGATTAGATTCACATAGATCTCAGAGAGTGACTGAGAGTTGGGACTGGAAGGCCCTGAGGAGAGAGGAAGCAAGGACAGACTGAGGATTTTGGAAGCCCCGTGGGGGTAGGCATTGGGCATTGGGGTGGGACCTGGCCACTCATTGGCCTCTCCACAAGACTTGGGACTTCATATTCTCTGGTCCCCCAAAGCTTTGCTTTGTTTGATTGTCCTTCTGATGAGACATTTATTTATTTATTTTCATTTATTTATTTATTCCCTGAGACAGAGTCTCCCTATGTAGCCTTGGCTAGCCTGGAACTCCCTATGTAGACCAGATTGGCCTCAATCTCAAGAGAGCCACCTGCTTTAAACACTTGTGCCACCACACCTAGCTGGTGAGATTCCTATTCTGGAGAGCCAGCCTTGGGCTTCCCACACCTCTGGGCCTTCCTTGATGTCCCCAACATTCCCAGCTTTCTTTAATAGCTGTTGGATTAATAGGCCTCTTTCTGGATGATTGAGTAAAATTTGCCAATATTCATAGGGAAGCAGGAATCACTTTCTTATTGAGACCGGATCCTGTCTCTAACACATTCTCCATGTAATAGTGATACATGACCACTAGAATCGGTGGGAATTGGCACATGATATAAAGCCAGTTATGGTTTGAATCTTTAATGTCCCCCGAGAGACCCATGTGCTAAATAAAGGTTTAGCTGTCTGTGGAGCTAGTGCGAGATAGCAGAACCTGTAAGGGGTGAAGGTTCAAAGAAGATAGGTCATGGGGGCATGCATTTGAAGGGAATATAGAGATGCTTATAGATGTCCTCCCCACTTTTTCTCTGTCCTTCCTGGAAAATGAACAGGTCTCTTTCACCATCCACTACTACTGTGATGTCTTGTGCCTCCATAGGCCCAGAACAACAGGAACAACCAAGTGATTGTGTTCTGAAACCCCTGACACCATGATTTAAAACAGACCGTATCCCCTTTTAAGTTGTTCACCTCAAGTATTTTGTTACAGTAGTGTAAAACTGACTTACATAAAAACCAATATTGGAGAGATGGCTCAGTGGTTAAGAACACTGGTTGTTCTTGCAGAAGACCCAGGTTCGAATCCCAGTACCCACATGGCAGCTAACGACTGTCTGTAACTCCAGTTCCAGGGGATCCGACAGCCTCTTCTGTCCTCTGTGGGCATTACACGATACGGGTGCACTTACTTACATACAAGCAATACATGCATACACATAAAACAATAAAAAATATTTTTAAAAAAACCAATATTGCCTGGGCTTAGAACAGATGTGGTTGATATCTAACACTTAGGATTCTCTGCCTGAGGACAAATAGTAAGTGCAGGTCATTCACTGCTCTAGGAGGCTGCTGGCAGCTAATGACCGAGGGAAGCTGGTGGATAAACACTGCAGAGTAATGGATTGTGGGCTAATAGGAGTACTCTATGTTGTGCTTTGAGTTCTGCAGGGGCAGGAAGTCAGTTGCTTGGGGTCAACTCGCTCAGTAATGTACTGTGTGTTAGCATCCTCTTTTTCTGTTTTAATTCCTGGCTTCCTTAATAAACTGCATGTCCTCACGTCCTTGTCACAGGTCACAGATTTGCTTCTGGGAGAAGTCTCACAATGACCTGGTAAGGGCCTAGTAAGAAGGGCTCACAGTTCCTAATTTAACCCCATTTTCCAGTTGGGTCTCAAATCTTCCAGAATATTCCTCCTACAGAAAATCCCTTTCTGAGCTTTCTTTCAGTGGTTACCCAGAGAACTGAACTTTATGCCCCTGAGCACTGACCACCATTTGTCATGTGTTTATCTGTGATAAGTTTCTGTTTCTCAAGTCAGAGTGTTAGCTTTGAGCATGCTGGAGCAGCTTAGTCCCAGCCCAGGATTCAGGCAGGGTGAAGGAATGCAGGGCTCAGCATGTGGTCACCAGAGGCTCTGGAGAAGGTAGGCATATGATTCACTGACTTTTTCTTCCTCTTACCCAAGGCCCTGTAGGCAGGCACGATGGTGACATTGATGGGTTCCCAGGTCCCCCTTGTCTGGATGGTGAAGACGAGGGCACTGGGGACTCCTTCCATCACTCTTGGGTCATAGAACCCAAGGGCCAGCAGGTCCTGGCAACAGCATGCTTTTTTCCATATCAGTCTCAGAGCAGCTTGGTGGTACTTAGCCTCTTCCTGAAAGCTGTGGAAACAGCTTAGGAACACCACCAACTCCACATCTGTGTTCCTCCTGAGCACTGTGCCATTCCCGAAGGAACCCACCTGCAAAAGACAGAGCCCTGTCTGTCACCCCAAGGCCCTCTGCCATGTGCCAGGCCACACTTGGGGCCCTTCATGCAAAATATCCCCTTAATGCCCATCCCTCCTTCAAGGACAGGTGGGAACTGCTGCCATCCCACCTCACAAGTGGGAAGGTAGAACCCAGAAGACAAATTTTGCACTCAGGATCTGTTTGCAGCTAGACTCTAGTGTCCAGACTTCTTTTTGTTTTCTTTTATTGAAATACAGTTTCCCTAGGCAACCCAGAGATAGCCTGGAGCTTGCTATATAGTTCAGCCTGGTCTTGAACTCATGATCCTCCTGCCTCAGCCTCTCAAGTGATGGATTACAGGTGTGCCCCACCACTATGGCCCCTGTTTGTCCACACCTTCTGATGCTCAGTCTTGCCCAATCCAGAACAATGTCCACACCAGAGGAATACAGGTTGAGCATCCCTAATTTGAAAATTACAAATCCAAAATGATCTAAGACTAAAATCCTGTTAACAAGATGCCTCAAGTGGAAATTTTCATAGCTGATCTTATGTGGCAAAAAAATACTGCCTTCAGCTGGGTATGGTGGCCCACGCCTTTAACTCTAGCACTCAAGAGGCAGAGGCAGGCAGATCCTGTGAGATCGAGGACAGCCTGGTCTACATACTGAGTTCCAGGCCAGCTGGGGCTACAGGGAGACCCTGTCTCAAAACAAACCAAACCAAAACCAAAACAAAATTGCGCTCAGGCTATGTGAAAACATAAACAAATTTCACACGTAGATTTGGGTTCCAGCCCAAGATACCTCATTATGTATATTTATATAAATAGTTTAAAATCAGGAAAAAATATTTCCAAATTTGAAACACTCCTGGACCTAAGCATTTCTGATAAGGGATGCTTAACCTGTAGAAACATCTACTGTATAGTGTTTGAGGATACTGGGCAGTCTGAATAATTTCATTCCATTAAAAGCAGGGAGCAGGCTTGCCTGCTTGCTAAGAGCCATGGGCCATGGAATGGACATTGACTTTTATTTCTTATTTTTTGTGGTGCTGTGGATGGATTCCAGAACCGCCATCATTACATTAGAACTCTACCTAACCTTGACCTTAACTCTTGCCCTTGATTTATTTGTCATGTGACTATTTGGAGCCTTGAAATGCTTCATGTATAAAGTGAAATAATGACAGAATGTGAGTCATTAGATAAATTACTGTATACCAAAGGCATGGGGATTTGTGTCCAGGAAGTCAGCCACCCATTTCTCCTCCTCCTCTTTATCTAGTGGACTCTTCTGGTTGTTGTTGTTTGAGCATTAGTTTCCCCATCTGTTCACGGCAGGAGACTGAACCATATGTTTAATCTTTTTCCTTTGTATTTATTCATTGTGTGTGTGTGTGTGTGTGTGTGCACACCTGAGGTCAGTCTTGGGTGTCATTCTTCAGGAACTGTCCATCTTATATTTTTGTTCTTGTTTTTTTGTTTGTTTGTTTTGTTTTTGAGACGGAGTCTCACTATGTGGCCCCAACTAGCCTTCAACTTGCTATGCAGATCAGCCTGGCCTCAAATTCAGAGATCTGCCTGACTTAACCTCCCAAATACTGGGATTAAAGGTTGTGCCTCACCATGCCGCAGCCTCTCCATCTTGTTTTTTATTTTATTTATTATTTTTATTTTATGTGTATGAGTGTATTGACTGCATATAGGTAGGTGCACCCATTTCATGCAATGCCTGTAGAGGCAGACGTTGGAAGAGGGCATCAGATGCCCTGGAACTGGAGTTACAGACAGTTGTTAACCACCATGTGGGTTCTGGGCATCGAACTCAGGTCCTCTGGAAGAGCAGCCAGTGCTCTTAACCACTGAGCCATCTCTCCAGCCCCTTCATCTTATTTTTTGAGACTGGGACCGAGGGCTTGATGATTTGGCTAGACTGGCTGGCCTAGGGATCTTCCTGTCTCTGCCTCCCCAGGGCTGGTATTACAAATGTGTGCTGCCATGCTTGTTTGTTTTTTTTTAAGAGGGTGCCGGGGATCCAACCCAGGTCTTCAGCTTCCAAGTCAAGCACTTTACTGAGTTATTGCCCCAACCCTTTGCAGGATCTACTGAGCTCCAACTCTTTTGAGTTGTGATCCTAGCTAGCACACAATGTGGCATGAAGTTAAGGAGGGGTTTGGGGAGAAATTTTAGTCAGAAACTTGGATCATAGGCTTTGGAGTCAAATTCAAACCCAGCTCTAACACCAATCATGTGACTTTGAGCAAGACACTGCACCTTTCGAATCCCCATTAAAACATACAGAAAAAAAGAAAAAAATTACAAACAACACTCAGATGCCCAGCATGTCCAAACTTTATCTCAACCACTTTAAAATAAGTTACTGACAGCAAGGAACTTTGTTTCTAAATAGTCTAGCATTTGAGTCCAAGAAAGGTGAGCATTGTCCCCAGTAAGCACACAACTGCTATTAGAGTTAACAAAACAAACAGAAATTTCCTTAAAAATTTCCAATCGCCCCCAAACTCTCTGTGTGTGTGCATGTGTTTTATTTTTTGAGATAGTCTCACTATTGTAGCCTAGGCTGGCCTCCATCTTATGATCCTCTTTCTGCCTCCTCCAGAGTGCTGAGATGGAGGAAAAGGGCCACCATGTCAGGGGTCCCAAGCTGTAGGGTCCCATGAGAGGCCTTGCCTCACATTTGATCATTCCAACTCTTGGGTTGCTGAACCTCTGTTCAGCACCTGTATCTATATCACAGAGAAGTGTTAATAACAGAACATTAGGGGGTCAGGCTATCGTACCCCCAAAATATGATCTATTGTTAGTGTCCTTACTGGTTCATTCTACTCAAGGCAGTAAGAAAGTGGGGTATGGACAGTCAACTGGGATGTCACTCCTGAGATGTCAGGAGTGTGGACTAGGGATTATAAAGCAAAGGGACTGGCCGTCACTCTGGGTTTCGCTTTGCTCTGGTTGGGAGGGGACAGAGAGGTTTAATCTTACCTTGACCACCTTCAGCACTCGCACATCCTGGCCCAGGCTCCGTTCTCCCTGGAAGTTCTCTTGCCTCAGGAACTGCTCCACAGTCCGTACAGCTTCCAACACCTCTTCTTTCCATTCTCGACTGGGCTGCAGCCACTGAGCCACGAAGGAGTCCAGCCTGGAGGCTGGGGTGCCGTATAGCTCCTGGGCCAGTGCCATGTCTGAACCGAGAGAGCCACTGCTGCAGGGCTTATATAGCCAGGCACCGCACAGCTCCTGCTACACACCCTCCTTTTTAAGGGGGCTCCTCTTCAGCTGACCTCCACTACCCTGTAGGAAAAAGGGACCAAACAGAAAGGAACCCCAGGTGGGAAATGGGCTTCCTGGGACTCACTACTTTGAGACCTGTTGCCATGGTCGATATAGTGAGGGACTTGAGGCTGAAGCTGGCAGGTCTGGGGCCACCTTAACAGAGCTGGCATGCAGCCAGCTCCGTGCTGTAGGTTTCGATTCTCAACTTTGAGAGTTTCCTTTTTGTGATGTTTGGAAAGTGAAATCGGCTTGAGTTTGACCTTACTGGAGACACCTTGCTTGGATGACTCAGGCCAACTGCCCCCCCAGTCATTATAAGGAAACTGAGATTTGGAAGGAGAAAGCACTTATTCATGGTTAGGGTAAGGTGTGGGAACTCTGGAACTGAAAGAACAGACTCTGGAGTCCTGTGCCCTTTGCTAGATGCTTAACCTTTTGAACCCTCACATTCTTTAAAAACAATTTAAAAAATTAATTAATTAATTAATTTGGTTTTTTTGGGGGTGGGGGGATGGAGCATGCCATGGCATGAATGTGGCAGTCAGAGGGCAACTTACAGGAATTGGTTCTCTCTTTCCACCATGTGGGTCCCAGTGATGAAACTCAGATTGTTAGTTTTGGCAACAAGTACCTTTAATTGCAGAGCCATCTCGCTGAACTGGACCTTCAAATTCTTAACGCATAAAGTGGGTTTAGTAATAATAACCACCTCATGAGTGTGTTGTGTTGATGAGACATAAGAGCACTAAGGAGAGAAAACACTCTATGAAGGCGAGGACTTTTATGTCTTTACAAAACATTTATTGTGTGACTACTGGATACCCATCTGTACTAAGAAGACAGGATAAGATAAACTTTGTGACCTAAAGGGCCTGTGAGCAATGGGGGAGATAAGCAGGAAGGGAGATTCTCAAAGTCCATTGTGCTGTATTGTTCAGTCATTAAAGGGCATAGAATCTTGGTGGGAAGCCAGGCAGAAGAATTTGTATAAGGCGATAGGCAGTGTCAGCAGACACTTCTTTGACATGAATCTTGAGACTGTGACTCAAAGGGCTAGGGCTGTAGCTCAGTGGTAGTGTGCCTAGATTCAATCCCCAGTACAACAACAAACAATCACATAAACCTGGAAATACTAGGGATTGACCAGGGAGAGGGGAGAATGGCAAGTGTAGAGGCTGAGAAGCAGGGACAAGTCTGGTGTCAGACTCAGGTGGTGACTGTAGGTTGGCTCTATAGAGGTGAGGAGGGGACAGGTGACAGACATTTCTGGACAGGAGTGCTGGCATTGCATCTCAGAGTGCTGTTCACTCATTCTTCATGCTTGCATACATTTATTTATTCATTAAACATTTATTGAGCACTTATTATGCTCCAGGCAGATGCTCATATCAGTGACTAGACAAGAATCCTTTTTCCCAGAGAGCTTGCATTCTGGTGGTACAAAGAGACAGTAAGCAAAATTAGTAAGTAAAATGAGAGTGAGAGTAAATAAAACAAGGAGAGTGCTAAGCAGGAAAACAAAACATAGGAAGAGGCCAGTAGGTCTCGTATGTACATATGTACATGCATGTATGTTATTTAGGCATTTAGTCTTATATAAAGTGATTGGGGCAGGCTGACTTGAGGAGACATTTGAACAAAGACACAAAGGTGGTGCAGAGTGAGTCATATGTATGACAGAGGGGAAGGGATCCTTGATGGCAGGATGAATGGAAAATGCAAGTGCAAAGGTCCTGTGGTAGTATCATGCTTGGTGGGTTTGTGGAACATCAGGGGGCCTAGAATGGAATGATCAAGGTGTTGAAAGGATCTAAGAACTGATTAGTAATGAGTGGGAGACAAACACTGTAGGGTCTTGAAGACTATGATTAAGGCTTCAGCTTTATTTCAAAAGAAATAGGGGACAGCTGGAGAGTTTTGAGTAGAGAAGGGATATGGTCAGACTTTGATCTTATTTTTAAATTTTATTTTTTTATTTTATTAGCGTTTTGGTTGCGTGTATGTAAGTGTACCATGTGCAATTCCCATGGAGGCCAGAAGAGTGTTGGATCTCTGGAACTGGAGTTATAGGTGGTTATTAGCTGCCATGTGGGTGCTGGGACCTGAACTCAGGTCCTTTAGAAGAGTAGCCAGTGCTCTTAGCTGCTGAACCATTTTTCCAGTCTCTGGGACTTTGCTCTTTTTTTTTTTTTTTTTTTTAAATATTTTATTTATTATTTTTATTTTATGTGTATGAGTGTATTGCCTGCATGTATGTGAGTGCACCCGTGTCATGCAGTGCTGTGGAGGTCAGAAGAGGGCTTTGGAGTCCCCTGGAAGTGGAGTTAAGAATGGTCTGTAGCCGCCATGTGGGTGCTGGGAATCGAACCCTGGTCCTCTGCAAGAGTAGTCAGTGCTCTTAACTGCTGAGCCATCTCTCCAGCCCCGGGACTTTGATCTTTTTAAGAGAATTTTTTGGAGATAGGGTTTCACTATATAGCCCTGGCTGGCCTAGAACTTGCTATGTAGAACAGGCTAGCCTTCAACTCACAGAGAGCTCCCTGCCTCTGTCTCCTGAGTGCTGGGATTAAAGGTGTGTGAATTCACATATTTGCATCACACACACTAATGAAAAAAAAAAACCTTCCCAAACCAATAAGTAAACAACCCAAATCCAGATGTCACCAATACAGAGATAGTTAAAGCTATGAGACCTATAGGTGAATGACTACAGATCCAAAGAGATTGTGACCAAGCACTGAATCCTGAAGTGCTTAACATAGTTCAGAGTTTGGTAGCTACAAGACGAATGAGGACCAAGGGAAGTGAAGGAAAAGCAGAATGGTGTTTTAGAAGCTAAGTGATGATACTGTTTTGAAAAAGAGGGTGTGGCCCATAGGATCAAACACCAGATGAATTTGCTTTGACTTTGTCCTGAGGGTAGTGGAAAATAAGAAGAAGGATATGTAATGAATTCAGAATTTAGAAAGATTGGGCTAGCTGCTTGTTGAGGGTGGACTGCAGGGATGCCAGAGGAGATATAGTGAGATGGGCCAAGACCTTGTGTGGTGGTCCAGGTGAGATGCAGTAGTAGCTGAACCAGGCTTGGAAACAGAGAAAGTGTGGTAAAGAGGTTGGATTCTTTTTAAAATTTGTTTATTTATTTATTTATTTTATTTTTTTGATTTTCTAAAAAATTATTTAATAACCACATACTTAGAAGAAGCATTTCATTACAACAGCATTGACACATTCAATAACAATTTCCGGAGCTAAGATGCATCTCTTTCAAAATTGGCTGTAAATTTTAAGGTTTACAGTTGAATTATTACAGTTTTACAATATTATATACAGTTACACAATATTTTACTTAGTATAAACCCTATAAGACATAAATTTAAATGAGGTTTTAACCTTTAAAAAAGATCCCCATTTCATTATTAAAATACACAGTTTCATACAGAAAAATTCATTTTTTTTAAAAGTTAAAAATATCTTTAATGAATCACATGGAAAGCCACTGAGAAATTATAACAACAAAGACGGTCTTTTTTCCTCTTTGTCAGCGACATATTTACAAGATTTCTAATGGAATTGGTATCATCCTCTCTTGGAACAAAGCTTGCCTTCCTAAATACAAACTGAATTAATTTTTAATGAAGTAATTCGGAAAACCACTAAGTTTTTGAATCTTATATATCGGCAGAATTTAGATTTGTCTAGTTTTCTTTTACTAAAAGTCATTTTTCAACCCTCTTCTTTCCGTGGCATATGTATATCTATCTTTTTTTATCATTTAAAAAATTTTAATAACTACATGATTAGAAGAAGCATTTTACTACAGCTTTAACATATTCAGTAACACACTCTAGAGCAAGAGTACATCTCTTTCACAAGTGGGTGCAAGTTTCTAGGTTCACAGTTGAGTTAATACAGTTATACAATATTGAACTCAGTATAAGCCCTGTAAGACATAAAATTGAGTGTGTGTGTGTGTATGTGTGTGTGTGTGTGTGTGTGTGTGTGTGTATCAAA